ATACCCGTGGAATCTTAAGAAATCTGTAGCGTCCCTGATACCCATGAAGTCTTGAGAAAACTGTAGCGTCCCTGATACCCGTGGTGCCTTGAGAAATCTGTAGCGTCCCTGATGCCCGTGGAATCTTGAGAAATCTGTAGCGGCCCTGATACCCGTGGAATCTTGAGAAATCTGAAGCGTCCCTGATACCCGTGGAATCTTGAGGAATCTGTAGCGTCCCAGATACCCATGAAGTCTTGAGAAATCTGTAGCGTCCCAGATTCCCGTGGAATCTTGAGAAATCTGTAGCGGCCCTGATACCCGTGGAATCTTGAGAAACCTGTAGCGTCCCTGATACCCATGAAGTCTGGAGAAAACTGTAGCGTCCCTGATACCCATGAAGTCTGGAGAAAACTGTAGCGTCCCTGATACCCGTGGTACCTTGAGAAATCTGTAGCGTCCCTGAAATCTGTAGCGTCCCTGATACCCGTAGAATCTTGAGAAATCTGTAGCGTCCCAGCTGATACCCGTGGAATCTTGCGAAATCTGTAGCGTCCCAGATACCCGTGGAATCTTGCGAAATCTGTAGCGTCCCTGTTACCCGTGGAATCTTGCGAAATCTGTAGCGTCCCTGATGCCCGTGGAATCTTGAGAAATCTGTAGCGTCCCTGATACGCGTGGAATCTTGCGAAGTCGGTAGCGTCCCTGATACCCGTGGAATCTTGAGCAATCTGTAGCGTCCCTGATACCCGTGAAAAATCTGTAGCGTCCCTGATACCCATGAAGTCTTGAGAAAACTGTAGCGTCCCTGATACCCATGAAGTCTTGAGAAAACTGTAGCGTCCCTGATACCCATGAAGTCTGGAGAAAACTGTAGCGTCCCTGATACCCATGAAGTCTGGAGAAAACTGTAGCGTCCCTGATACCCATGAAGTCTTGAGAAAACTGTAGCGTCCCTGATACCCGTGGAATCTTGCGAAATCTGTAGCGTCCCTGTTACCCGTGGAATCTTGCGAAATCTGTAGCGTCCCCGATACCCGTGGAATCTTGAGAAATCTGAAGCGTCCCTGATACCCGTGGAATCTTGAGAAGTCTGTAGCGTCCCAGCTGATACCCGTGGAATCTTGCGAAATCTGTAGCGTCCCTGTTACCCGTGGAATCTTGCGAAATCTGTAGCGTCCCAGATACCCGTGGAATCTTGCGAAATCTGTAGCGTCCCTGATACCCGTTGAATCTTGAGAAATCTGTAGCGTCCCAGCTGATACCCGTGGAACCTTGAGAAATCTGTAGCGTCCCAGCTGATACCCGTAGAATCTTGAGAAATCTGTAGCGTCCCTGATACCCGTGGAACCTTGAGAAATCTGTAGCGTCCCTGATACCCGTGAAATCTTGAGAAACCTGTAGCGTCCCTGATACCCGTGGAATCTTGAGAAGTCTGTAGCGTCCCTGATACCCGTTGAATCTTGAGAAATCTTTAGCGTCCCAGCTGATACCCGTGGACCCTTGAGAAATCTGTAGCGCCCCAGATACCCGTGGAATCTTGAGAAATCTGTAGCGTCCCTGATACCCGTAAGATGCCTAAAAGCCAACTATTATAAAATATCAGCCTAAAACGATAAATCCGCAATCTACGGCACGTCAGCATGTACAGTGACGTGCCGTAAGTCATTCACGTTTCGTCATTTCCCATTGAATTCTATGTTTATTAAATTTTGAGAAATTATATATAATTATTAAGACAACGTACGAGGTAAATAGCGACTTTTTGTCTTCAGTAAGATTCATCAGTTTGGAAATACGTTTTGTCAAAGTTTTGCTTTATACACCAACAATGTACGTATTAAACGTGTCGCAACGTTTTAAGACCGACTGGTCCCTTTGTCAAGCTATGACTGAGTGAGAGATTTGTATTGTTTACCTGTACAACGATGTGACGAAATTATGTATTTCATCTGTGAGTTTAATCCATTTTTGTCTGTTATAAATTAGATAGACTTAAAATTCGATTTTAATTAGCGTAGCGTGTTTAGAGCATTCATTGAAAAATAGAAAAATAACATTAGATATTATTGAATGATCGTCGAGAAGACGGTGTCACTCCGTTTTATCGCAGCATATTGAGAGAGAAATAAAGAATATTTAATAAAGGTTACAGACAGTGGCGAACTGATAGTATTATCTGGGGGGTTTTTTGTGATACCCACAGCACTTCAATTCTTCGGCGAAATCTGTACATGTGCAGCACTCGAGACTAGGAGAGAAATCTTCTGGCACGCATTTGAATTATATATGACATTCTACGGAATACTATCGAATTTCACGTTTATCACTATTCCCGAACGCCAGGCGGTTTGCAAAGAACGCGTCGAAGATACATCCGTTGCTTAAGGATATTTTATTACCCAAAATAAAGACTTCACATCCTTTTATTGTGACGTCACAACCAGTGAATTATGACCTCTCGCAAAGATGTGACGTTTTTTGACATCGTCATTTTTTTGCAGGAGAGTTATTGTAATTAATAACTATATACATATAATATAACAATGTTTTTAAATGGTGTTTAAGTTGTTGTTTTGAGTGAACTTATAGCTTCAAATCATGGATCTTGATCAACAACAATAGGTCTGGTCTCGTGCGCAACTGTATACGTTGTTCATCATTTTTAACATTAACAAGATTGCCCGTATCACAACCCCTTTACAATATTGCCTACGTTTATCAAACTAAATACTTCTGCATCTTGATATACAAATGTACCGAATGGTTCCGTCTGAAAACAACAACATGCTGACTTACATACCTCGGCTACGAATTGCTACATATATATGTCTAGTCACCACCAGACATCTAGTTTCCCCTGGCCCTTACACCAGACTTTGGCATTCGTCCTCTGGCCCTGACACCAGACTTTGGCATTTTGTCCTCTGGCCCTGACACCAGACCTTGACATTTTGTCCTCTGTCCCTGATACCAGACTTTGCCATTTTATCCTCTGTCCCTGACACCAGACTTTGCCATTTTATCCTCTGGCCCTGACACCAGACTTTGCCATTTTATCCTCTGGCCCTGATACCAGACTTTGACATTTTGTCCTCTGGCCCTGACACCAGATTTTGACATTTTATCCTCTGTCCCTGATACCAGACTTTGACATTTTATCCTCTGGCCCTGACACCAGATTTTGACATTTTGTCCTCTGTCCCTGACACCAGACCTTGACATTTTGTCCTCTGGCCCTGATACCAGACTGACATTTTATCATCTGGCCCTGACACCAGATTTTGACATTTTATCCTCTGGCCCCGATACCAGACTTTGACATTTTATCCTCTGGCCCCGATTCCAGACTTTGACATTTTGTCCTCTGTCCCTGACACCAGACTTTAACTTTTTTGTCCGCTTGCCCTGACACCAGGGCTAGAGGTTGATTGATTGATTGATTGATTGTTTGATAGGTTTTACGTCCACTTCACTACCGAGTAGTTCGGTTATCCAGCAGACGAAGAAAAGACAGGAAAATGAGTAGAAGGGATTAAGTATGGTGTGAAGGAAGGAGCCTTCTTTCCTATATGTATTTAATGTATAAATCCTTTTTTTTGTAAGGCGGCTCCTAGGCCTAATGTACATTACGGCTAGAGGAAACTCGGGCCAGTTATAAGACGTGCGTTTGGACGCTCAAGTTACTTCAACAAAGCCCATTGTAATGTTATAGATGTAAAAAGCTGGGTCCATTTTGAGTACATCGTATTGATCATTGACACATAAAATCGGTAGGTTTGGTCTTAGGCAGATCATTTTTCCCGGAGCTATATTCCTCCTCGGTACGGATCTCTATAGTATTTCTTGTAATGAAACAAACACACGAATTGCAAATATAATAAGTTTATCTATACATAAGTAATTGCAAATTATATGTTGTACAGTAATAACAGTTTTAACAATATAAGCTTATATATATATATATGTGTAATAGCGTATCTATATAAGGGCACATGAGTCAGTTGTATCACAGAGAGCAACAGTGGATTAAACTTACATTATATATATATATATATATCACGGAACACTGCTAACACCAATACATTCGTAAGCTCCTTTTTTAACCTACAATATGTTATTCCTCAATACTGCATCAAAACACTCCTAGAATCCATTTTAACGATTCCGTATTACATGAGAATGTATTATTATAAAACCATTTCTGACGGATTTTCTAGGAACTATCAATAATTTAATTTTGCCTATCTCCCCCATAATATAGTTTTTGGTATAGATCGTTTATACCTAAAAAGGAAAAACAATTGATGACGGAACTACTTTTTACACTTTAGAATGCAAAATTACAACGCAGCTAATGCAAAATTACAACGCAGCTTTTTTTTAGCGCAATTGTTTAGTTAACGTTAAAATTAAATAAATCTTTAACTGTGCATTTACAACGTGTTTGTCTACTTTTTTGAATTAAATTATAAACATACGGTATATACCGGGGAAAAAATGTGCACTTTTTTGCATAAACCGCTTCGCGGATTTATGCAAAGTGCACTTTTTTTTCGGTATATACCGTATATACCAAAACAAAATCTTGGTCATTCCTTAATTAGCCATTAAAGGGTGTATGTACAGGCCTGTACACCCGACAAAATGCCCCATCCGACCCCCATCCTCGATACTCCAGGCTAGTTTTTTTATATTTGTTTCAGGTTAAAAAAACACTCCCCAATCGCTATAATACATGTGATACCTGTCTTTTGAAGATTACAAAGGAGTGACACCCGACTTCAAAGCCAGTCAATTTTACCGTTACGCAGCTCCGATATTCTTTTGATGTACATCAAAGGATCAAACGAGTCTTCTCGTCTCACCCACAAAGTGGCGCACACTTAGCCTTCGATTTTGTCATGACATATTCCAGGGATGCAGAAAGCGTAAGTGAGCGTAACACCTGGAGTATCGAGGATGCTCCTCCCCCAATACATGTTAACAGTCTTGAATCGATATTTCTAACATAGTTCATCTTCTCTCTGTAAAACCTAAGCCTTAAGGGGCGACACATCATAAAAAATGCCCCTGCAAGTTTTAAAGACTCTTATGAACACTGACATATGGTAGAGCCTCCCACCCGTCGTATATTTCTCGATTCGTTCCGAAATGCTCAATCTAGGAACGTATTTCTGAACAGTTCGTCTACATAGTAAACACTGGTAACACTGTAAACGCCTTCTACATTCCAGCTGTACCGACTAAAAATCAATTTATTTACGTTTTGTATTTTTGTGTTATGCAATGGTTTATCTTTTTTGTCTTGACAAGAGGTGAACGCCTCGAAAATGTATCAACTTACATTTTCCGGTCTGTCACTATTAAAGCATTGCTTTTACATTGGTATATCGATTTACGTTGTACAACTCAACAGGCATTTCTTTATACACTCGTTATCACAAGACACATAATACAATTCGTGATATAAAACACTAAAACGTGTGATAATTCTGCCAACACATCAGGAAATATCTCAAAATACATACTGTGTCTCAATTCTCAAGTCCCTGTGTATTTCCTTTTCTTTATGGGGTCCTATCGATCTAAAATTATGAAACTTGTAACAGCAATAAGCGTACCTATTTCTATGAAATAAAGCCATAGAGCACATCATATCTGTTAAGAGCTTTAAAAGATGGAGTATTTTTATAGATTGATTCAGGACATCACACGTGCGTCACCGTTTGGCAGGGAAGTAAATTTGATTGTTTTCTTAAATTTCCGCTTTTCTTTGCAATGGTGTTCTCTGTGAAGTAACCTGGTGTATAAATATGTGAAGTTCTTAGATATAATACCTATCGGCATGGCAAGCAGAAATAGTCCTGTCATGGCGCATAAACTGGCAACAATCCGGCCCACTGTACTCGTCGGGTAGACATCACCATAACCAACGGTTGTCATGGTGATTATCGCCCAATAAAACGCCCGGAATACGTGGATGAGCTCGGGGTTATCATCTAGACAATACACAATTCCTCCGAAAATACACGAATTGATTATCATAATGGCAAATAGTAAGAAAATGGTCTTTTTGCTTTTATCCAAGGCAAGAAGCACCAACTTAAGTCCTCGGTTAACCGTCGCGAGACGATATAATCTAATATATCTCAAGGTCATCAAAAGGTTACCCGCCATGAGAGCATCTTTTTCACTTCCGGGAACAAGGAGGGGAGAGATAAGTGCCGTAAAAACGAGAATCCAGAAGCCTAAAAGCGCCAACATATCCAGGATGTTGATGAAACTCTTCAGGAAGTAAACTTTGGAGGAGGAAACTGCTAACCGTATGACCACGTCAACGGTAAACACGGCATTCGTCAAAACCTCTATCACAAGACCCGCGCATGGGATGGTCGACAGGGAGGGCATCAAGTGGTCGGAACCGGAACCGGAAATGTTTGCATTTTGTTGTGGTGCAAAATAGTCTTGCGATCTCACCAGAGCGTCACAAATGACAGAAAATACAACCATAGTCAGGTAAAACACTGCATACGCCTGTAAAAATATGGAAAATAATTTCCTTATAATTAGGTTACAATTTTACAAATGCAGATTATCTTAACAGCAACTACTTACTAAAATATGCAGGGAAAATACTGGAATTTGAGAGCAGTGGGCCATTTCAGCAGTTTTTAGTCAATATAAAAATTAAGAGGGGCCATTCTATGTAAAATTAAAAGAAATTTGTAACATGGAGGGATCAATTTCAGTTTTGAAGGGTCAATGGCCCCATGTCCCCTCCAGGATTATCACTGAATATGCCTAAAAGGGACTACATTATTTCCCTTTTCTGTCCTACCGTTTTCATATCTTTTCCCGTATTCATGAAACCGTTCTCATGCTCAAACACAAACTCTGTGCTCAAGCCCAATTTTTATTCGGGTGATTAATAATAATAAAAAATAACATTTTGCCACCAATTTTGAAAGAATTCGGGAAAGACTTCAAACTGCATTTCATTTTAAATGTTAACACTTGACTATCTGACCATGTCGCATGATTTAAGCAAGTTACCAGAAGCTTGTTTGAGCGCGAAATCCATGCTTGATCATTTTTTCATGAATACGGACCCAGAACTCGCCTCTCTGGCAGCCGAATTCATTTCCATTTTACCGTGTAAAGCCCTAAACGTACCCTGTTACATCGATATTTGTTAAACCACAAAGGAAATAACTATCAAATGCAAGACAACAGTACGTATCGTCCCATTCATTACCCGGTAACCAAGTCAGTCTAAAAGATGTTTATAAACTGGGTTCATTATTTGGGAGCACAGACAGGTGTTCGCACGGTCAACAATATAAGTTAGATTTTCAAAACAAGTGACTGTTGTTTTACTCGAGATAATGTTTTCTTTTAAAGAAACGCAGCTTTCTCTTTCTCGATTTTTTCTTTTGAAAATTTACCAACGTGATAGATATTCATGATAAACACGGTATCGTTTTGAGGAACTTTTTCCTACCATTATTGTTATGGCATTGTCCAGTGAACGACATTGCCGTTTTAAAACAAACAAAATACGCGTATGAAATAGTTTAAGGGGGTAAGTTTGCTAATTGACATGCAAACAATAAATCGCTTTGTTAACAGCTCTCTATATATTTTTTTATGTCTTCGAATATTTAATATTGATAAATTCACAAATTTATCATAGTTGTAAGTAACGCTACGTTTTTATGTTCAATCAACACTGTGTGTTAACGGCACCGGATATTGCTACCAGGCTAGCGGTGAGTCCGTAATGGGTGACGGCGAACTCGATGGATACCGGAATCAGCCGAAGTTAACTGATTGACTCAAAGGGTTTATTGGGAACAATCGGTATTTTCCGTAAACTCAATCATCGATCGTTTACGGAAATTGCCGACGGTTCCCGATTTCTCGCGTTACCTTTGATCACGTTTCATGAAAATGACGAAAGATATTTTAGTCAGCCGTTTAAAATGTTAACCAATACCTATAACGGTTTCTATATTTGTAGATGGCCAGGGAGTTGAGAAATAGGGACAAGTGTAGCAGGAATATGTACTCGACTGAAATTGTTCAAGAATTCGCATGTTACTGGTCTTCAGACGGGGACACATTATATACGAACACAGGAGATAGCACCTTTAAAACCTGCTATATAGATACAGTATGACAAACGTTAATTACACTGCGTCAAGTCTGACTACCGCAGAGTTTATTACGAAATTAAATAACTATAAAAATATTTCATATTAAAAGTTTCAGTTAAATACCAGTTAAATAATAATAAATCGAGGTTCTCATGAACCCACTCTTCTATCACAACCTAGTTAGTAGGACGTCTCAAAGCGATTCACAAATTATTATCCGTGGGGAGCATACAGCCGTTGCTGCCATTTCGGCGCTCACAGATAGCATTCAACAATTCTAGCACTGCCCAACCACGTACTCATTTGATTACAATAATTAATAATTCGAGGTTCTTATATACCGCTTTATCACAACCCAGTTCGTAGGTCGTCTCAATGCGGTTCACAAATTATTATCCGTGGTTATAGGGCCTTTGCAACCAGCCAATATCTTTCTCAACTCCCTGGGGAGCATACAGCCGGTGCTGCCATTTCGGCGCTCGCAGATAGCATTCAACAATTCTAGCACTGCCCAACCACGTACTCATTTACAGCTGAGGAGACTGGAACAGGCTGAGTAAAGTATCTTGCTCAAAGATACAACACAGTGCCGTGCCGTGCCGTGCCGTGCCGTGACGTGCCGTGCCGTGATTCGAACCCGCAACCCTTAGGTCACGAGCCCGGCGTCCTACCACTACACTATAGTACCGCTTCCAAACGGAGATTTTCAAACTAACAATCCTTCAAGAAGGGTCCATGCATTCTATTCTTGACAAAATGTTCAACATACATGTATATTATTTTTTAAGAGCCAATAAACTTATCCAATTTTTATCTGTACGTGTCAGTAAGATAACGATCCTTAAGCAAGTGAGATTATGTTAATTACAACTTTACCTTTGCCAGCATGGACGATGTTGGGTATTCCATTAAATCCCTTATCAATGACGTCAAACCTTCCGTTTTCTGAATAAATTTCTTCCCAGTGGTAAAGACTGGAATTTCTCTGTCTAGCATTTTTAGTGTTTTTTCGAGACCATCGTCACCATACAGACTCTTCCAGCAACAACTTGACACCGCATGGGGAGAAATATCCCAGAATTCCAACTCAAGACGGATCTGACTCGGACAGACACTGACAGGAAGGTGTAAATCGCCAGTTCGATGATAGTCGAGTATGCATCCGAAAACTGCAGGATTTCTGTCAAAAAAGTACTCTACTTTTCCTGTAGATTTTGTCTGTTGTTCGTGAACTTCATACAACTTTTCCAGTCTCGAACCAGGGATCTTTTGTAGTGTGTCCCACGTAGTGGTGAACCGAGTGCCCCCCACGTCAAAATACACCTTTCCTGCCATGTCGTCTGCTACGATGTCGGCGTCATGACTTCTCGTTCTAACAAAAATCTTTAAAACCTGAAAGAGAAATGGATAGAATCGATAAACTTGCTATACATGTGATCAAAATAAGCATTCCGTGTTTTCCATCAGAACTTCAGACAACACACTTCCCGCTCCGCCCTCAGATATACACCCGTGGAATCGTCTGATCTAAACACGTCGATCGCCATTTTGAAGAAAAAAAATCCAGACCACAGGCTTACTTAAACAAACAAATTAAATGGACGTCATGCCAACATTTGTATAAATAAATAAATCAAGACTATGGTACAGTATACGAGCAATGATCGGCAACCAAAATACCTGTTGATAGACAGCAATCTCTAACGTTACTTTTCACATGATGGCAATAAAACAATGGAAATGTTAAACGTTGTTATACGGGTTTGAAAATAAAGTTCTTGGGAGGTGGAATGAGGTTTAAATAAAACTTTCTCCGGGTCGATGGGCGATTTCTGGAATATATCAAAAAAATATCCGAGGCTTTTGTTATCACTGCCAACAAAACATATATTATCGTGAAATACATTTACCATCTTTTCAGCAATTGTATGTACCAAGGCTAGGGTGCCTTCCCGAGTGATACCTGTAATTTGCTGTAATCGTCCTTTGAGAATGGTTAACTCGACCAGGTTAACTAATTAATTAAACTGTCCTTTGAGACCAAAGAGGTAAGCCCAGCAAATCTCGTTATGCAATCGATTCTGCTAAGATTATTGTACACGATGGGCATGAAAGCAATATTAATTTAGTTCACCAGAGATTTACGTTATTGGCACTACAACGGAATTAATAAAAATGTTATATTTTATTCAAGTGTCACATATTGATCTACATATAAAACAAGTAAAAGGTATTTCAGTCCGTGACATTTCACAAAAAAACAACTCAGGCGTATTAAAATGTCACTCAATGAAATAAAAAGGCAGAAGTTTGTATTCGAATTCCGAAAATTATCAATTTAATGAAAGATAACATTATCGTTTGCCGATTTTTACTTTCTATGCAACACCTCCTAGAGTCCTCTAGCAAGTTAATACAGAACCTTATTATTTCATATTATTTGAATATTATTTTTTGGAAGATTGTGACATGGAGGACGACGAAGGGACAAAATGTATCAGTTATTATACCAAGGTTAAGATATATGTAATCATTTACAACAGCTCGTGTGAGTAAATATTAAAAATAAAATCAAGACTTCGTATTTCATTTTGTTTATAAATCGACGTTATAAGATCATTATACATGTATGTTTTGTGTGTAAACAAATGTTGAAAAACATTTTGGATAATTTGTTTTCACTAAAGATTAAATTATATAACAATGTGTATTTACGTAAGTAGAAACTTTTCTAGCAAATAAAATCTCAATGTTTAAAAATATATATATATATATCATATTACGTTGGTGCAAAATTGTAATAAAAATCTATTATGTAGCCATTACAACTATTGACAAATACTGGAAAGCATTCGACAAGTCATATTTCTATCTAACCAATGTGGAACAACGTTTTTACAGCACCAATTTTTGAAAACATTTATTGTTACATATTTTGAAGTTAGTTATTGTAATACATATTATAGTAAATAAACTGTAAAGGGTTCCCGTAACCAGTGCGCAAAACTGTAACCATACGTTGGAAACTGTTTCCCCTGCATGTCTACAGCTTTGATAAATCCGTCATTTCTGAAAAGAAAGCTATAAATTAACACACCATAAACCGGGACTTTTATGAAGAAGAATAATTAAGATGGAATCAACGAAACATAATCAACAATATTGTTCTGAGTGTGAAAAATTTCAAAGGGACTGGACCGGAATTAGAACCGGACTTTCGACTGAACCATATAGTCAGCGGAAGTTGTATGGCCCCTACTGTGTTATACAGTCAAACCTGTATTCAGAGGCCACCCAAGGGACCGGCAGAAATTGGCCGCTTAAGACAGGTGGCTGCTAAAACCAGGCTCATCCGAAAATCACAACCAAGTTTTCATACATCCACGGGTTATAATGACATTTTCCCGGTAATATAGGCTGCTATGTTATTTTGAATTTTTCTCCCTTCATCAACAAGAGTACGATTTCATGCTTGAATATAAATGCATTATCAATAAAATACAAAGGCGTTTTGGTGATTAATTTCTTGAAATGATGAATTTATTTTTGTTTGGCTACACACGTGTTCCACATACGTTTTGCGCTAGCAGACCACCACCAGTACTGAAATCTACATGTAGATCTACTTTTAATGAAAATCTGCATTGCGATGTATTCCGATTGATGTGGTTCAAATAATTTTCTAATGAAATGATATATCAGTATTTAGTTAATTCATCACTTGTAAATAAGTCACTCAATAAATCTAGAACTTTGCAAGAATCTTTGAGGTAACGGTTTATTCACAGCACGCATGCGCCGTATGGAAAGGTTAACACTAATGTCATGATCTCGCACAGCTATTACAAACCAAATAAAGTTATTATAGAAATAAATCACGACATAGTAATGGGGGAAAATCTGATTCAGCGTCTGCGCTGTGAAATTTATCCTTTTGACATGATGTGTGCTTCGTTGATATAGAAATAGTGACTGGCAGACAGGAAGCAGATTTGTTTTCCGCATTTTTGATCACCTAACATATTAAGCCTGAGAAGCTTTGGACACAGTATGTACAGATACCACAAAAGATCATACTTGTTTTGAAAATCACTAGCTGATTCAGTACACAAGGTGGGATTAATTGTTTTGTTTGTAAAACATTGTTGATGGGTCGGTAGGACCAGCCCCAATTCGCAAGCTGAAAGTCGCTGTGTAAACAACTTGTCAATTCAACGTGTCAAACCTTACCTCTGGTTTATAATTACACATTGTAATTAGCTTTGCTCTATTGAGATGTGTTCTTGTTAATACATTGTGATCTTCTTGGTGTCAATTTCCGAACAAAATGACCGCTGAATACAGGTGGAGATAACGTATCGGGCCAGAGTGTTGTGACCACTGGCCGCATTAGACAGATGGCTGCTTATTCAAGATTCATTATATAGTTACATCCAAGACGAAGTTAAGGGCAGCTTGTTGTATATACGAAAAACAACAGTGCAATGGGACAGGGAGCCTTAAATATAGTGTTTATAGAACGATTGTCTCTGTCCAGTACTTCGCAATACATGATAATACATGTTGTGACATATTCGATTGTTGTTACAAATTGGCACGTGACAGTACGTATACATTCCTATATACAGCTAGCTCATTATGTGTTGCTCCCGACCTTGTGTCAAATCCATCATTTATACCGACCCTTTTAGTTTAATTAACCATCTCGGTTCAAACCGACCATGCTTTTGGTCACTGCATACTAAAACACACTTGTTTTATGTACATTTTACGTCGAAGCATTATATAGATTGTTTTTGCCGTAGGAATTGCGTAGACGTCAAAGATTCTTTGCTCAGATAGTAGCTAATTCCGAAAATTGATTTTGTTGGAATAGTAGTTACGTACAACAACGTCGCCATACATCAGTAGGTTGTGGCGTCAGTAGAGACAAGGGAACAAAGCGGTATCCCTTTCATCGGTCAATATTGATACTGGTTGGGTCTAGAAATGACACGATTGCTCTTTGAAGCGTCTCCGAGTACTTACAATATTGTAAATAAAACAACTGAAGCGAATATGGTGCCGTCAAAAAGAACACGCCGTCAACATCAACAAAATCGCAATTCGAACTCAACATCGATAAAACTATGATAAAATATAAACAAAGGCTACATTTTGCATGCAGATCATTGGGGAAAAAGTACAACGATAATAATACTAGGGCCGTTGTCATGCTCAAACTCATACTCTGTACTCAAGCCTAAATGCAAGTTCCGATGATCAATCAACGAAAAAGCACATTTTAATTTGTTTCATTTAGAGGAATTATTTCGACTATAAGCCAGACACCGTTTTTAAATGCTTACATTTTACTTTTTGACTATGTAAAATGATTTATACGAGAGACAATGAAGTTGTTCTGAGCATAGATTCCATGTTTGAGCATTAGAACAGTTTCGTCAATACGGGCCATGATGTTCCGGCAGGGTTTGAGTCTTCCGTTTCAGCGATAACGTCCGCCATGTACATCGCGGTCAAATCGAGGATAATGTCACGTCCTCCTAGCGAGAACCGCAGTAGTGACAACAAAAACAACAAGGTACACGCATGAACATAATCAAAAATATAGACCTTCATATTACACAAACAAAAACCTTCATAATCATACATGGTACTTGATAGGCCATTGGTATTTTTTTCCCATAACAATAGCAACTTGCATAACGACACATCTATATATGAGTTATTCTGCTGTCCATGCAGCAACATCCAGTAGCAAATGGAAAATATATATGTTTAAATTGGCATAATAAACGTACTTTATATTTACATCCAATAACAGTACGAACGTGGAACGGTGAAAAAGAGCCTCGTGTTGGTAGACAATTCAGTTAGGTGTGACAACCTGTGTGTAATGTAATATAGACACTTCAGTTACGTGTGACAACCTGTGTGTAATGTATTATAGACACTTCAGTTACGTGTGACAACCTGTGTGTAGTGTTTTATAGACAATTCAGTTACGTGTGACAACCTGTGTGTAATGTATTATAGACACTTCAGTTACGTGTGACAACCTGTGTGTAGTGTTTTATAGACAATTCAGTTACGTGTGACAACCTGTGTGTAATGTATTATAGACACTTCAGTTACGTGTGACAACCTGTGTGTAATGTTTTATAGACAATTCAGTTACGTGTGACAACCTGTGTGTAATGTATTATAGACACTTCAGTTACGTGTGACAACCTGTGTGTAATGTTTTATAGACAATTCAGTTACGTGTGACAACCTGTGTGTAATGTATTATAGACACTTCAGTTACGTGTGACAACCTGTGTGTAGTGTTTTATAGACAATTCAGTTACGTGTGACAACCTGTGTGTAATGTATTATAGACACTTCAGTTA